ACTGCGGCTGGTTGCGCAGTTTTTAGTAGGGTCGAAGTGAAGATGGATGAAGTCATTGGGGACCTGTGTTTGGAATCATTGATTGAATTTATACAAACACAGGTTTTCGGGCATGACAATGGAAATATTTTCATCTGCGCAAAAATGCGTCAGGGATCACGTTTCAGTACGTTGCTCGCTCATTCCAGGAGTCGCTATAGATGACATTTCCATCGCAATGCTTCCAGGTGATTTTCTCGTAGCGTATGAGAACCGTTTCAAGGTGTGTTCCGGTGTTTGCGCCGGGATACAGGTCTGGTGTGATTGAGGTTATTTTCACATTCTCCAGGAGGATATTAAAATATTCCTGTTCTAAACCCGCCTCATTAATCTGATACATCTTAATGGTGGCTGACTGGAGCGTTCTTCCCGTACTCAGTGCGCGAAAAAGAAGTGGGGTTACACGATCAAATTCTTTCTGGAACATGATGGGCATGTGTATACGCGTGCCCGTTAATTTCCCGGTATTCCCGTCGACTGGGATGTTGACATTATGAGTAAACGATTTGAGTTCAATTGCACCTTCACGCCCTGACACAAGGCAAGGACCAACCATAGGAGAACCATTTTCATCGGTCAGAAACAAATAAGCTGGGTTTGACATAAACAATCCTTTTTATACTATTTAATCGTACTTATCAAATCGGCCAAAAATTATCGGATGAAGAATAATAAACACAATGATAGAAATGAATGTGAGTAATACCCAGTGGTCAGGCATCAACCACAGGAACAAAGAGGCGCACGCAAAAACATAAAAGGGGAATAAAACATCCGAGAATAGAATTGAAAGCAAGCTCTTAAACATGCTCCTTACCCTTTAAGTCGTTATAAATTGCATCGAAATCCTTATAGAACCCCATTTGCACCTTCTTAATGAGTTCAGACAGGAAAGGCTCCAAAAAGTAGTAAAGCATCTCCAGTTGTGCGGCATAGAGTGTGGCGTAATACTTAGGGTCCAATGTTTTCAGGCGACGAGCAGCAAGAGCGCACTTCTGTTCCGTTCCAATCAGTTGAAGCGCCATGACAACGTTAGGTACGCGGCGTGCAAGCCGTTCGACGACGATGTCAGAGAGTATGCCAGATTCGGAAAGGAATTTGGCCAGCCCCCATGCTATCGCCAAACGCGCGGCCTTACTTGTCGGTATGTTGTTAACAAGCCCCGTTACTTTTGAATCCATCTTACGAACGCGATTTTGTTCATTTCCATTTTCAGAATCTGTAATAACACTTTCAAAATAAAGGAATAGCATGTGTGCTATTACATCGCGATAACGATAAAGCGAGAGAATTGAGAGGTACATTCTCTTTTCTTCTGAGAGAAGCTCATCACACACATCGTGATAGCTGGGGATTAAGCATGAAGAGTACCAACTTACTCTCTCCATTCCTGAGTAAATATCAGAACCGATCCCCTTTAATGCTTTCCATGTCCCTGCAACGCCTTGCTGTCCATAAAGAGCTAACTGCCTGTCACTCTGGAACTTCATCTTTAAATAATCAGATGCTTGCATAATGTATCCATACGATATTTTTGGCTACAAAAATATACATTGAAAAAACCTGGATTTCAAACTAGCAAGATTAACTCACATAAATATTTACGTGATAAATAAGTTAGCCAACTTATATTTATATCGATTATATGCGAGACAATTTAACTTCCCACAGGACATTGGCGATTATATTAATTCACACAATTAGTGGTGTTAACTTATAATCATGAGCAATACATATATAATAGATATTTTGGATTTATAAAATATATTTTTATAGTAAATCGCATGTCAGCCGCGTCCATTGCCAATAAGTCAACAGCCATCTTTTTTGAGCAGACCAGAAAACAAAAAACCCCGCCTAAGCGAGGTTTTTATCAGGGTTTTGCGGTTGGTCGCCGCAGAACACACTGTGTTACGTCAACGCAAAAAGTATACGCGATCGAAGAGGAACGCGCAATTCCGGCACGGATTTTGACGTTTTTGAGTATGGATCGCCTTCCAAATTTTGTCCATAAAATACTGTTCATACATACAGTACTTATCTATACTGAGGGTGTTCGCAGTGAGCGAGGGGGCCGCAGTTCTACCGGCGCAACGA